AACCCGATGATTAGGTATTTTCAATTTTAACCCTATGTATGAAAGAATATTGCATTTTGACCCTTGGACTTGAGAAAGTTTGCAAGAATGGTCCATAATGGCATTTTAGTGATTTTAGCCAAAGGCCTAGTACGTTTGGCGTACGTTGTGTATGCTGAGCATACTAGGGCGGACCTCAGTACGCTAAGCGTACACCGCATACACATGGCGTACGTAATGAAACCTCAAACCTTAATTTTTAGGGTTTGGTCCATATATAAGCATCATTATCACCTTATTTCCCATTCCCTCATCAGCCTCCATCTAAGAAAACGTCCATCTATCAAATCGTAAGTGAGAAGAGTGCATTTTGAGCTCATTTGTGTGCTTTGGTGGTGTTCTTGAAGAAGAAGAAGAAGTTGGTACAAGGAATTTGGAGCTTGTAAGAAACTTGGATCTGAGATTCTCTCCTTGCTAGCAACCTCCACGAGGTAAAAAGTTCATAACTTGATTATCTGATCTTGTAGATCTAGCCATTTCTTCATTTAGGGCATTTTTGCTCCCAAAAATGGTGATTCTTGAGCATGTCATGCTCTTAATCGAATAAGTCGTCCTTTCAAACCTAATAAGGGGTCTTGAGTCATAAAAATGTGGTCTTGTTGCTTAGTTTATCCCCATGCATGCTCTAGAAGGTCATAAGGTGTTAGGAAGTTGGGATTTTGTGTATTAAGCACTAAATGAGCATGCAAAGTCATAAAGTTGGAAACTTTATGACTCTTCATGATATTTTAGCCTTGGATCTGCATTTGGGCGTATTAAGTCGAAGTAATAAGCTCTTAATAAGTTAAGAAGGAAAATTGATGTGTACACAGGGCGTACCAAATGGTACGTTGCGTGTACGCAGATTTTGCCCCGATGCCTCGGACCTCAAGTATGTCCCGCGTACGAAGCCTAAGTTGACTCGGTTGGGTTGACTCGGTTGACTCATTGATTTTGACTAGTTTTGACCAAGGGTATTTTAGGAAAATGTTATTAACTTAGAATGGGGAATGTTTTGACATTTAGGATTTGGGTTGAGCTGGGAGTTATTCTGACTGCATTTAGACTGTGAGGTGAGTTTTCCTCACTGTACCCGTGGGTATAAGGCACCAAAGCTGGCCCTCTAGATTATTTATCCTGGTCAGGATAGTGATATGATTGTTGTAGTTGTTCAGTAGATCCGTATGATTATCTGTGTTGTTGGCTCTGTGTTTATGTTTGTTTGTCGCATATGTCGACATGCTGTGTTATGTTGGGTTGAGGCAGTCCTGCTTCATGCTATAGGCCAAGACACTAGGGGAAGACCGGATAGGCCGTAGGCCCTGCGAGGCGGTCCAATCAAGTCGGCGTCCTGTGGAGCGGTCCATATTGGTTGTAGGTGATGTGAGACGGTCCAATCATGTCAAAGGATCGTAGAGCGGACTAGATAGTTTGTAGGCCCCTGCGAGACGGTCTAGTCAGGTTGGTTGTTCATATTATATGCTTGTTTCTTGTGGTGTGTTGGTGTTTTGGGGGGACTCACCAAGCTTTGTCTTATAGTTTTAGTTTGTGGTTTCAGTTACTCCCGAGGATCGTGGGAAGGCGAAGGCGTGATCGTACACAGCTTCCAGTTTTATATCTTCGGGTCTTGGGAAAACTATGATTTGAAATAATGCTTTTGAAACAATGACTCTTTGTAAACAATATTAATTCATGGTTGGTTTTAAAAAATTTAATTTTATTGTGATTTTTGGAGTGTTACAAGTTGGTATCAGAGCCTTGGTTTGAAAGAGTTAGATGTGCATTCGTGTGAATCCAGACTCAAACTAGGGAACTGCAAAAGTTTTTAAAATGATTTTCAAAAGTAAATAATGAAGGATGCGATGTGTATGATCAGCTGGAGCAAGAAAGTATACCCCAAGTTACCCACTCTGTTATTTTTGATGTTATGTTATGTTAGAACAGCATGCTAGTTGTAGGATAGGGATGTTGTAACACTCAAGTTTTTGGTAAGTTCCCTTTTAACCCCTTTAATGCAAATTCTTTTCATTTTGGTCCCATAGTTAGTACGCGGGGTATACTTTATGAGTATGCTTAGCGTAGTAGCTATAAGTTGGTCGTGGGCATCACCCACGTACGATGGGCACGTGGGAGTATGCAAGGCGTATGTATGGTTTGGACAAACCCTAATTTTTAGGGTTTGCTCCTTATTTAAACCTAATTATAACACCTCTTAGACATTTTAGACCAGCCTCCATCTCCCTTTTACCCTGAAATCGAAACCCTGGAGCATTTGGTGAGTTTTGAGCTTAAAAGAATGTTTGTTCGTGGTTTGTGAAGGAGAAGAATAAGAGGAACACTTGAGGGGATAGCTTGAGCTTGTAGATCTAGGATTACCTTCTCATTTGCAAGCTTTTTAAGGTAAAAAGCTCACATCTTAATGATCTTTGGTGTTAGATCTAGTTTATGTTGTTATTTATGCATTTTGAGCATTTTGAGTTAAAGTTGAGCTTTTTGATCTACTCCAGAAGAAATGGGTGCTAGATCTTAGCTCCATTTAGTCCCTATGTTCATAAAAATGTCAACTTTATGGAAGTTATTGGTCCATGCAAGCACTAGGACTCTTTATATATATATATATATATATATATATATATATATATATATATATATATATATATATATATATATATATATAGGGCTAGGTTATTTTGTTTCTTACATTTATTGTGTGCTAAAATGCACCAATAGGAATTTAGTAAATTAAATAATTATTTAATTAAATAAATATAAAAATTAAATGATTTCCATAATTATATGTATATTAAATGATATCCATAATTATAATTCCCTTTTTATGGAAATTAATTAAATTTGTCATTAATGTCAGCAATAACATTCTTTCAGAATAAATTCGCATCTAGGTTTTTATATATGAGTTCGTATTTTGTTTCAGGACTTAATCACTTAAAATAAAATAAAATTGCATGGAATATGAAGAACGAGAGTGTATTCTACTAGAATACACTCTCATTCTGCTGGAATACACTCTCATTCTTCTAGATATGAATTCATTCTGAAAGAATATTATTGTTGACATTAATGACGAATTTACTTAGTTTAAGTATGGATAGCATTTAATATACATATAATTAATACTAAATTCCTATTGGTTCATTGTAGCACACAATGAGATGTGAAAAACATTTGAACCTATATATATATATATATATATATATATATATATATATATATATATATATATATATATATATATATATATATATATATATATATATATATATAAAAAGCATATTTGTGGTAGTTCATTACCAATAAATATAGAAAGAAAAGTTTCACAATGCATGTATTAATGGAACTATGGTTACATTGGCTACTTTTTATAACAAAAAATAATTCATATTGCTTTAGTTATAAACTCAAATTATAAAATTAAAAATATTAAACCAAATCAACTTCATAAACTTTAATGTGGATGTATATTATTTCATAACCGGTCTCATTATTTTACGTACCAAATCATCATTTTTCTTATATATTACGGAATAACTTTAACGAATATTAATAATAAATATCATATATATCAATTAAGTGAGATAAGTTAATAGATTATTTTGAGTAGAATTTTTTGATTTTAAATAACTTGTAGTCGAAAAATTGATAAGCTTTTATATTAAAATAATCGTTCAATGCAATTAAGTAACTTTCTTAACTTTTATAGTCTTTAATAATGTTAGTAGAAGGTTTAAGAGTTTTAATATTAAAATAAATCAATACAACTAATCAACTTTTTATTTATACATTTTGAATTGTAGTTTGTTAAAGTCTTTGTTTATAAATTAAAATTTTATAATATAAAAATAGTAATTTATTACAATGCATAAACTTCTTCATTAAGGTTAGTTTACTACGATAAGTCTAAAATTGAAATTTTGCATAATACATATACTAACCGTCCAACATTTTTATTTCTTTATATTTAACATTGTCTAATGAAATGTTATTATTCCTTATTTATCATGTTATGAAATTAACAAACAAAATTATATATGTCGGTGCTTGAAATATTTTACTAGCAACTAGCTCTATACCCGCGCAATGCGGCGGTAACAAATAATTTCTTTTGGCAATTAGTTTCATTCGACAACAAATTTTTTTTGCGTAATATTTTCAGGCGACTATTTTTTTTTTGGCACACCATTTCAGGTTAATAGTTTCCTTTCAACGGATATTTTCTTTTTAAGAAACATGTCATCGATTATTTAATTTCATTCGGAAATCAAACCATCAAGTTCACTCCAAAAGCATAAATTAAAAACCAAACATTAGGAAACCTAAGTATTAGATAGGTGGGGAGAGAGATGAGGGGATTAGTTATCTTTCGATTTTGGTTCTTGTTTTTCGGCACAACCATTTTATTTTTCGATGGGCGACAAATAGTTATATTTCAGCTAATATGTTATCTATTTATCATCAATATTTATTATGAATTAGAACCTAGCATTCAACCCCCCTAGCTAAAAAAAACCAATCTAGCCAAATCTTCAATAGCATTTATGGTTTAAACATTTTCCTTAAGTTGATTGATGGTTAAGGCCATACTGGTTTTTTTTTTATTAAACGGTGGTTAATTACTTTCTTAATTTGGCTAGATTAGTAATCAACCCTAAAAAAAACCAATATGGTCTTAACCATCAGTCAACTTAAGGAAAATGTTTAAACCATAAATGCTATTGAAGATTTCCATTAGGGTATACTGTTATTTCTTTAAAAAATACATACATTAGGAAAATAGTAAAACAAATTGAGCAACAAAAGGTTCATAAAATTGATATTTTGTTCTTCATTTAGCAGTCCATTTAGAGCGTATATCTCAACCTACATCAAGCAATTTAATAAGCCACAATGCTTTGCATCTCAAATTCTCTCTTATACCAACAAAAGTCATCATTAAAAAACAACATAAACCCAAAACCTCAAATTGGTTCTTAAAACAAAAATGATTCACCATAGGAAAGCATTCAGTGCCCATGCAATTAAGCAATACACCAACGATTTATTTATAATGAATAGTTTTTGGACGATGCTAAGTTTCCTTTTGGTTGGTTGTTTTTTGTTTAAAATATTATGTGCCTCATATTTGTTGCAAATAATAGTGTGGGATCGTTTTGGGATACAAATAAAAATATATCGGTGTTCTTCATCCACGACATTAACTTTCTATAAACAAGGAAATTTCAAAAACCAAAAGAGAAATAACCATAGAAGTATCCATATCTGATTTCAATGTTGCTTCAGAACCCAATCAAACAAATCTGCCATAAATAATATTTTTCTGATTACATTAGGTATTCAGGAAAGAAAATAGCATACGAAATACATAAAAAGCTTACCTAATTTCATGGTTTAAGATTCCATTGAGAGAGATAGAGAAAGGAAAGAGACAGATGTTGAGTCGATTTTTGGCTATATCTTCACCATTAGCCCCCTTTTTCTCTAGTCATACTCTTTTCCAAATCCAAACACATATCTGATCTTCAAACCAAAATGGAGTAATAAACCCAATCCAATCCCAAAGCAAAACATAACCCATATCTAACCTTCAATCACATATTCAGTTGAACCCACCTGTAGTGTTTTGGGTTTAATCAATAATCAGTTTAAAATGAAACCCAAAATCTCAAACTATTATAGAAAACGTACCTGGTGTCGATGGATATACCTTCAAATTTCGGGGTAGTCACATCGGTTGTATTATATCTCCATATCTAATAATCTAATAACTTTTAGAAGCAGAGATGTGTGAGAATGATTTGCAAGATTCAAAAATACTACTTGATGCTTATGCGGATATATAAAATAGTAGCTGGTGTTAAAAAACAACAACCATGATCTCACATTTATCTAGAATGGTGTTAAACAAATTGGGGAAAGACAAGACAAATACAAAGACTGTTGGCTAAAATAACAATAAGTAGTAAAACATCATGCTTAAAACGGAAGAAAGTATCAATTGGTCAACAATAATTTAGGAGCTCAAGCTCTTAAATAGTTTGAAAACTGCCACCACTTCATTAATACTGCCTCTGTTATAAGACCGAATCTTTTAGGTTGAATCTTAGGAGTGTTGAGAATGAAGATGAAAGTAAAAGCGCAATTCTGGTATCTATCTTTTAAAAGAGAGAGCTGGATCGAAAAACTTCAATTTTGGTGCCCTAATTTAGAAAACCCAAAAAAAAAAAGTAAATTGGCTTCCAAACCCTTTGGCTGATTAGAAAGCCCCAACTAAATATGAATAGCTATCAGGAATGAAGAAAGTCCCACTTTTAATGTTAGCCTCCCTTAATGATCCGAAATCAGAATAACATACAACAACCATTTCAAATGCACCATGAAAGCAATATCACGTTCATTAAATAACAATTAAAAAATAACCATGAAAGCAATTGATAGGTAAGGAAAGAGGTATAAACTTACCTTTACTCCCACTGATTTTCACCAAGAATAGATGAAGTATAATAAACCAACTGAGATTGATAGGTAAGATAGAAAGAAATCATCTCCCCATAGCATATATTGGCTTTGAAGAAAGCATGATGTGTCCACATCTGAATATTACTGAAATTAATGATGTGTTACAAGTAAGTTCATAAACAAAACAAAACGTATGTTCGTAACCTTATTTGAATTGGGAATCTATTTCTGCAAAGGGCTCAAATTCTCGTTTATCCTTCTTCATGAAAATAACAACAAAATACATTCCTAATAAAAAAAAATTAAAAAAAAACCATGTGAGGTGCAGTATTTTAGCAGGGAACGGAAGAAAACGTGTTGTTTGGGACACTCACTGATGGGCTTGGTTATGTACGTCCAAAATTGAAAGCATTATCTCCAACTCTATGTAATCGATTACAAACCCAGATCAATCCCGAGGTGGAGGAAGCACTTCAAACAAAGCAGGGGATGCTTCACCTGAAAATTAAGATTCACGAAAATTAGGGTTCGAGACGCACGGGTGATCGAACAAAAACAAACAAATACCTTCAAATCTTCTCAGCATATGTCAACCTAAAGTTCTTAGTTGTTTCTTCCCATATCTTTAAAATAGTCAATAGCATAATCTGGTAGTGGAGAATGCCTTCTTCGACTATAATAGCAATCTAAACCATCAAAAAAATGACAAAGAAATTAATAAGTAACTTCGCAGAGAGAGAGAGAGAGAGAGAGAGAGAGAGAGAGAGGTGTTAAAACACACACACAACAGATCGAACTTTGTGTAAAGATTGACCCATAATCCATCAAACGAAAACAGCAAAACAGAAAATCCTTAATCATATAGCTTCGATTTGAGGACGAAATCACTCGCCCAAAGTAGTCTCGAGAGAGGTAGCAAAAAAATCGAAGAGAAAGAGAAGAAGGAGAAAGTCTGTATATAATGAAATCAATATAAAAAGATTACCTTTAAAAACACAGCAGGAGGTGGCGACCAGAGCTGTTAATAGAGGGTGACTCGGCAAAGCGTCACGATGAGGTAAGGATGAAGGAAGGTTGAAGTAGGCAGGCAGCTTACCAGCAATTAACTCAAGCGTTAGGTCGGTGAGGAAGCGTCGACGTAGACACCTTGGTAATGCAGAAGAGAGTTTCACATATAGGTATATGACAAGGAGATGGGGGCCTAAATATTTGGGAATTTTGGGGTTCGGTACGATTTTTGCCGAGATATTTGGATTCTAGAGGATTCAATACGACTCGATCTAGGGCTAGGTCAAAAGCTTTAGTGAAATAAGGAAACTTATGCACTGAGTAGTTGTATTATATGCTTAATCATTTGAACGACTTCAATTATAATATTATTATATTCATGGTAAGTTGTACATAAAGCTTAACAATTTGTACGTCTTAAAAAAATAATATTATTATATTCAATCTATTTTTAAAAATAATAGGATTTCTTTTATAAGATAGTAAAGATAAGCCTAAAAGATAATAGTTTCACTATTAGCTTCATATTTCATTAAACTTCGTAAATAGTCCTTCTGCTTTCTAAAAATCAGACATATCGTCTCTAAATTCAAAAAACCTCCCAGATGGTCCCTGTTGTTTGAATACTTTTAACAAAGGTCCTTATTGCTCACTCGGTCATCTCTTGGCTGCTATTTTATTAAAATAATAGAAGGAGATTTCCGTCATTTCACTACCACATGGACCATTTTATGATGTTTTGTCTGATTTTAAAAAAGAAATATATTATTTAATTTACAAATGGTCTCTCTCTCTCTCTCTCTCTCTCTCTCTCTCTCTTTTGTGTGTGCGTAACACACACACACACACACCCATACACACATAATGAAAGGGCTGTTGATTTCAATTTTCCAAATAGAAACATGCTAAGATATGAAATCATCGCATAGAATAACAATGTTTAACTAAAAAAGTCAAAATTGGACTTCGATTTCAAAAGATATGAGAAAGGGCAACCACGCTTAGATCGAGAACATGGTATCATGAAAGGCTCAAATCTGCAAGTTTGGAAACGAAACCGAGACATGCCACGGTTGCAACACCATTTGTGTTGCCTCGCCAAGTTATGAGCTGAGTTTCACCCATCGTCAGAAACTGGTGCTCGAAAAAGTTAATGCAAAGCTATATCATCATCGCCTCGAAATGATTTTTGGTACAAGTCTCAATTGGTAGAGAATATGAGAAGATAAAAGCTTACAATCGAAACAAATGCAGAATAAAAACTTGGTGGATTAGAGAAGGCATCTAAGAAGATAAAACCTTACAATCTATTTCTGAGTTTTTCACCATCGATTTGAAGGTGTCTGTATTAATCATTGATGTGTGTATGTTGAAGAAGATAAACACAAAAAAGCATTTTGGTGTCTGAGGTTTGAAGATGGGCATGTGGGTTTCTATAAAAAAAATTCTAGGTTCATTTTGTGTTCTTCCATTTGTGTTCATGAGCATCTTCAACCTCCACCTTTATCAACCCAATAACTATGTGCCCAAGTGATTCAACAAGCTGCAAATGTAATTGTGAAGTTGTAAACAAAATGAAGTAGATTTTGCAAGATCAAGAAGATAGATACGTGTTTACAAAAAAAAAACCCCAAGTTCGGTTATGATAACTTTGTGAACACAATCTTGCTTTGCTCCCTTCTGTTATCGGAAGTAGGAAAGAAGAACATCCCAACTGCATATCCCAAGAAAGATATAGAGATATAGAGATAAAGGGAGATGGAGAGAGAGAGGGAGAGAGTGATGGGTGGGACCCTGATTAACTTCAAGCTCTTTTGTCCATCCATGTTTATGTTGTTCATCGTTTATTAACTTCAAGCCTGCAAACAAGCTTGGTTAAGATTCAACTAAGTTATTTAATTGTCTTATGTTTATCTTGTAATTGTTGTTCTTATATTATCGTATAAATATTTTAATATTCCACATCTTAAATTATTTTTGAGTTGTTTAAAGATCCATCGAGATTAACTTACATTCCGCAAATATAAACTTTCTTCAAAAGTTCTTATCTCAAAACAGACAGATACCATATTCCTAACGAAGGTATCTTACGAAAATATCAAAAGATATTGTTCACATCAATCATGTGTGGCTCGTTCGAATTTTGCTTGAGACCTAATATAGTAACATACAAAAAACATAATACTAGGCATGCTTGCAATCAAGTAAAGTAACGATCTAATCATGCTTCGAATTTTATGTTGGTCAACTGGATTAAGTCTAGTGCCAAAAGTCATCAGGAATTTCACATCTAAAAAGTTTTCCATATCAAAGAGCTCTAAGAGCCTTTTCGAGTAAGTTTATTTATTAATGAAAATACTTTTGGGATTTTGTTTAAGATTTTAACCAAGAAAGAAATGTAATTTTCCCATCATGCGCATATCATATTTTCTCTTAATGAGTTCCTTGAATTCCTTTCATAAGCTTGGATCTGTAGAACCTAAAATAATATTATCAACTTAAAGTTGAATAACATAAAATGATTATTGAGTTTTGTTTGAAATAAAGTTGGCTCAACCGAACTTTGCTTGAATTTTGAAATTTTGAGAAATTTAGGGACAGTTTCATATCATGCACGTGGAGCTTCTTTAAGTCCATAAACAACTTTGTCCAAAATATAATAATAATACGGAAATTTATCATTTACAAAACCTGGAGGTTGTTTGACATAAACAGATTCTTCTAATTCACCATTCAGAAAATCACATTTGACATGCATTTGGTAACCTTTGAACTTCTTGTGTACAACATATGCAAGGAATATGAAGGAATTCAGTCTGGCAACCGGAGAAAAAGTTTCGTCACAATCAATTTCTTCTTGTTGACAATAATCTCGAACAACTAGTCTAACTTTGTTTTGAACAACATTTCCTTTGTCTAGAATTACTTGTAATACAAATTGTTAAATTAACTTGAAATATTCAATTAAACCATAAGTTAATTTGAAATACTCAACTGGATCAAACAACAAGTCTACAATCATACAGTGAATTCCTTAGCTTAGAATGAGATTAGATACATGTAATTAGCTTTGAAACAACATTACTTACATAAACATGATGAAAAGGAAAGTATTATACTGATTGTTGTACTGTGAAGCTTCCAAATACTTATCTAAATCATGATTTAAGCATATAATGATAAAAAAAAAGGAGAGTATTATACCGTTTAACAAACTAAAACTCATTATAAACAACCCTAGATCTCCCTTAATTGCTTTGATTTCGGATTTGGGTTCACCTCAAACCCTAGAGTGAGTTTCATAAAGATGGTGAAGAAGATGATACCCATATTAAGTTGTTAAGCACTTTCTACCTCCAAAACCTTCAAATGCACATTGAATCTAACTCTAAACGACTCATTCTCATGAAATACCCATTGTCAAGATCTCCCCTCTTTCTATTGATCAATCTCACTTAAATGGGGAGAGATGACTAGTTATCTTAACAGTTTAGTCAATTGGCAATTTTAGTCCTTCTACTTGTTTTTACACACATTCAATCTATAAGCAATAAAGCAACCTATGTGAAATTGTCATTGTTATTTATTTGGATTTCTATATGTATACATGAACAGGAGAAAAGAAACAAAGACAGCCTTCATTTTTATATTTGTTTTTACACACTTTCAGTGTATAAGCAATAAAACAAAACATAATGGATGTTGTACCATATTGCAAGCTCTGTAGTAGCCATTTTAAGATAAAAAATAGTTTTTGTTAAAATGCTAATTTCCCAATTCCCCAATAAGATGAATAATGTAGAGAAAAAAAATTATTTGTGTCCATCACTATGTTATTTAGCAATTGGTGAATAATGTTGAGAAATTTTTTTTGTGAATAATGTTTAGAAAAAAATGTTACTTAGCAATGCTGAGATTAGTTTACATCAGAATATCTAATTAAATGGTGTTATGTAAAATTTATATATTTTGTTTTTAGGGGGTGTTTTTGTCATCGACAATTAAATTCATTTCATACATTTGTCCATTCATACATAATAATAATAATAATAAACATGGATTAATGATTCATTCCACTTTGATAGAACAACCAAACATGAAAATGGAATGGTAATGATCTTATTTCAGTATTTTGTCATTCCATTATTATCTTGTCATTCCGTTACATAATATCAAACAAAAAACACCTTTAATCCATTAACTCATAATCTATCATGTATGAAAATATTATCGAACCATATGTTGTACAATTTCTCCCATTTCATTTCGTGAGATCTATATAAAAACAATAGCACTATAGTCGTTCTTTTTTTCTTTTCAAGACAATTTTATTTATCTGAAAATGTACAAAGTGTATACTAACTTCCGTTTTTTTGATGAGATGGATAAATATACCACATTTTCTACTTGAGAAACCTTTCACCCGATATGGAAATACTATTGGATGGATTATTGTTGTATCTTGAAAGACGAATTGTAAAGATGAAACTTTGTGAACACTTTTATGATGGTGACATTGACATTACGTGTTTTCTAATGGCGCATGATGACATTGAATTCATTTGTAGAAAACTCAAACACTAAGAATGCATTTGCTTTGTTGATATCGAATGGGAAATTTTCAGAAAAGTTTCACTTTAATACAAAAAAAAATTGAACATAAAAGTCTCGATTATTTTATTTTAGCTCAAATTAACAAAAAAATCATTTTTTTTCTTTTAATAGGAAATGACATATTATCGTGTAAAATCAAATAATCAGGACTTTTCTGTTTAAAAAAAAATTAAGACTAAAATAAAACTTTTCTGAAAATATTGAAACTTTTCTGACAATATAGAATTGAAATGTGAGATCGTATTTATTGGTGTATTCAGTTGTGTAATGGATGAAATTCAATTCCTTTAAACTTCATCATTCAATTCCATTATATTTTCTTATTTGATAGATTTGTCAAATGGACGAAATTCATAATTCAATTCCTTTAAATTTATATTTGATAGATTTCATCATTCCTTAGGGACACGCAGGAATTCAACTTCATTCATTCTTTTTGAGTAAATTACAAAAATGGTGAATATGGTAAGGTGGTGTCACGGAAATTACAAGTTTGGTCCCTGTAACTCACACGTTAGAATCACAAAATTTCAAGATTGGTCCTTGTGGTTTTTAAAAAAATTCACATTCTGGACAACTATAAAAACATCACACTATTGGTCCTGTGGTTTAAAATCTTGCATGGTATGTCCTCTTAGCTAACACTACTAGTCCTTACGGTTTTAAAATGTGTTATGGTTGGTCCTTTTAGCTAACTTTGTTAGAAAACATGGGTTACATAGTTATGAAATGACCAACTTACCCATTTTCATTTTTATTTTTTCATTTTTTCATTTTATTATATTTTTTAAAACTTTACAAATTGACCATTTAACCCCAATTTTGTCCTTTTCCTATTAGGTCATTTTGATATTTTTGTTTTTACAACTATTCTATAGATACACACCTAAACACGAATATGATGGAGCATTTGATGTTTCTCATCGGGGTCAATAGATACATCTTAAATGCAAGAGTAATTACACGAATGGTCCCTATGGTTTGGGGTAATTTCCGCATTTGGTCCCTAACTTATTTTTTTTAACTTGGAAGGTCCCTACTGTTTGTTTTTGTGGTCCTTGTCTTACCTAAAAAGACTATTTTGTCATTGATTTTTTAATTTATTTAAATAAACACAACCCCAACCCCACCCCCACCTCACCTTATCTTACCTAAAACGACTATTTTAATTTATTTAAATAAGGGCATAATAGTCTTTTAGATAAGATAATCACCAAGCACATAACAAAAACAATTAAAAAAATAAATTATGGACCAAACGCACAAATTACCCCAAACCATAGGGACCATTCGTGTAATTTACTCTAAATGCAACTTTTGGTGCACTTAAACACCTCAAAGCAAAATAAGGTCCCGTATCATCCAGGTCCAAACAGATCTTTCTGGCTGAATGGACCGGAAAGACTGTTTGATTTGCACAATAAAAAGGGTCTTTCCCGGTAAGATATATATTTCCCAGAAAGCCCCAAAATTATATCTTTCTGGCTGAATGGGTTGGAAAGACAATTATGTACCAAACCCCGCCTCTTTCTTTCTTTCTTTGATTATTAATTTTTTTAAATAACTTTTTTTAAATTTATTTTTTATTGAATTATTACTTTTTTTCATCATTCAGCACAGTCAATCAGATGCACAATCAAACAGCATGGTTTCTTTCCCAGTCAGAAAAC